CCGTCAGATTACTGGTTGCGAAGAGAGCCAAATAACTGCTTAATCTGCATTATTTGGTGGCCGAGAAAGTTTCATAAACGTCTAGAGAGGCATACGCAGACTTATGCAATTGAGTTTAAAACCTAGACACCATTTCCGCGTTTCTTTGGCAAAACATGTGCCTTGGGTATTTGCACTATTATTCCTCAGTGGCGTATCAATTCGACTGAGGCTATATTCTAGCTACTGCCCTGAGTTATGCAAGCGTTTTCCTCCTGATACACACAGGGTGGCCGGTTGGAACCAGAAGTGTGCTGTTCTGCACGGTCTCTTCCATGTCGGTGATGAGGTTGTATTAGTCAATGACTTCCCGGTCAGTACTATCTCCGAGCTGACCAAGGCACTGAAGTCCAGGCGCTTGGCCTACCGGTTCCGCTGGTCCTCCGAACAATCTCTGGGTTCTTCACGTGTTCTTTCTGTGGATCCTACGGAACCGCTGCACAGTATACGTATTCGCAGGCTACCCCACGCTCGCGCTCTGATAGCTTGTCGACAGTACACTGGCCAGGACCTCGGAATCACCTTCGAAAACGGAACCAATGTGGTTAGTGCCTGTGATTTCTGCAGTATTTTGTAATTAGAGTTCACCTTCTGCTCACCGGAATAAATTTGAAGGTGAGCAGAAGATGAACTCTAATCCTTATCCCAGAATTCTGGCTTTTTCAAATTTGAGTATTCTGTAAGCCCCTCTTTTTTATGTGCTCACAACATACGGTAGGGTCCTATTTTGAGTCCCAGATCATCACGCTAAAGCACCATTCTTTTGTAAAACAGAACCGGGCGTAATAAAGAGTATACAGCCTGAGCAATTCGAAGAAGAGAATACAAATATTATAAAGGTAGAGAAATTATAAACGTAGAAAAAGCAAGAATAATTATTCGCATAATTTAATGTTTGTCAACAGAAAAGTGTGCCACAATTAAAGTGTGCAATTATGCAAATGTTGGGAAATAACTAAATCTAAAAATATCTAAGTAAATCTAAAATTAATCAATTAAACAGCTTGAACTAAAGTAAGCTAAGCTCACTTAACTAAAAAATAATCTAAAGGTAAGATAAAAAGAGTAAGCGTGACAAAGAAGTGGAAACTAAACTGAAAACTTTACTTAAATATACATAATTTAAAAAAAAACAAATAAAATATACTAACGCATAGTTGTTGCGCACGTAAACTGAAGGTAAGATGGACTCCAGGTAAGTTGAAGTAGAAGACTTCCTATTTCCACACTTTTTAGGAATATCAAGAAATCCGAGAACCTATAAAGTATATGTAAGTAAGAAATGTCCAAATTTGTCACACCCAATAAACTATAAGTATGTAAGTAAGAAATGTAAGTAAATTTCTGTATTTTTTATGGCGCGCTGTTTAGTTACAAAAACATCAGACAATGTAAACAGTTTCTTGAACCCAAAGTAGGATTCAATCTAGCATACTACTTTCCCCCATACCCCCTCTTCCCGCAAGACCTGAAGTCATGTTGTTCGTACATATGCTTTGTGAATTTCATGCAAGATATCCACGGTCAAGCGGATGACACCCTAAATCACGTTTGGTCCATTCCCTGTACCCCTAGTCTACTTGCAGTCGTTAACCCTTCAAACCTTTCAACGTGTCTTTGCTGTGTAAAAGAGATGGGATCGAAGACTACTGACCCGCTGACATAGCAGTTAACATTTCGTCTCATAGCTCACGCACGAATTTGGGCTTTCAGACCCTGCATGTAGTTTGTTGCGGTCAAGTATGGGCGATCTGCTGTAACCACTTACACAAAGATGGCCAATCCACGCGAACATGCGAGCCCAAGAAAGTAGTTTAGAAGAAGAATAAGAAGAAGAAGGAGAAGAAGAAGAAGAAGAAGAAGA